AAAAAAAAAAAATTAAATGCAAAATATAATTTTTCATGTTCAATGATCCAGTATATTCAGATAAACATTTACGAATATAGCTACAAGCCACACCAAAGGCAAATAATAAATATCAAACTATAAGTTTGTGTTTGTTTTCTCCTCATCTTGTTTGTTTCCTGTTTGTTTTTTGAGACATGTTCTCGCTATGTAGAGTGATCTGCCTGCCTCAGCCTCCCAAGTGCTGGAATTACGGGCATGTGCCACCACGCCTGGTACAAACTATAATTATCAAACTATAATTATTAAAACAAAAGTCTATCATTAGGTTACAATAAGCTAAACTTAGGATTGTGTTTTACACTTATGTAAGTCAAGCAAAAAAAAAGTACCATTTTGGGCTTTTCTTCTTTTAGTGTAAAGAGGCGTTTCCACCAGCCCACAGCTCTGCGTCTAGTCTTTACTACATTGCTGCAAATTTCATGGAATCTTTGCTGCTGTTCAGTGGTCCTAGAAGAAGAATGTTTCCTTTTGTTATAAGGAAATCTACAGAGTAAACAGAAATACATTCCTCTTAAAGTTAGGTGTGTATATACATACTTTATTATTTAATAGAGTATTAGGGCTAATCTGTAACTCTGGAGTCACATTTGGTTAACGATAGTAACAAAATACTCATGACTTCTATGGGCTATGTCAAACCAGTATAAATTTGATTTTTCTATACCTGGATTACTTTTCAGATCATATTAAATCCTTCACTGCAGTCCATTAGAGTCTCAATGAACAGCTGCATCTAAGCACTTACAGTGTCAATAGCACTCGTATGCAAAGCTAAGAACCCCAACCAGGCTTATACATTTGACATCAAGGCAGTAATAAACAGTTCAAATCCAATTATTTATAAATTTAGTACCTCTGAGGGAAAGTAAAGCAACGACAACAACAAAAATGTGGTAAATATCCAACAAAAAGAAGTCCAATTTTTCTTGTTCCCAATTTTAAAAAAGGTGAGCCCTGCACTATCTTTGCTGCATAGGAACAGTGGCTGCTGTAAGCAGGAACTGTGCTGAAGAATGTGCTGCCTTCTTCCCTCATCTTCATTCTGGTGATCGAGGAGGATTTCTGCTGAGCCGTGGAACTTCTTGTAAACAATTAGACCTTCTATGGCGACCACAGTCAAGGTTAGACGGTGGCTCTGTAACACAGTGTTCTTCCTTTCCCACAAGATCATTCCCATAAGAGCAAAAAAAAAACACAAAGCAACTTTTTTTTTCTAAATCGATAGCAGTTACCAGGAAAGCATAAGTGTTTGTTTCTGAAAACTTTCGTGTAGGAGTTATGAATTAGCAGATTAGAATGTCATCTGGCTACTAAAGTCAAGGCCAGTGGTTGCTTCCCTTTGTTAGACTGGCTCCACTGCATGGTTACAAACTTATTCCCCCAAACAACGGCATCAAGAATTCATTACCGCAAGTGAAAATGATTTAAAAGAGAGCTCTTAATACCAATCCATCGGAGAGGAAAACATGTTTCAAGAAACATGATTACTTATCCCACAGTTTAAGCAAATTACCCCATAATATATGACTTTCCTTTTTGTTGGGGCAGGGGGTTTGAGACAGGGTCTCACTATGTAGTTGAGACTGACCTGGAACTCACTATGTAGCCCAGGCTGGTCTCGAACTCACAGCGATCCTCCAGCCTCAGCCTCCCAAGTGATGGGATTACAGGTGTGTGCCACCATGTCCAGATGAATTTACTTTTAAAAAGATCTATAAGGTACTCATTTAAAATTCTCATTTTTACAGATTTATAATTTTCTGTCATCTGGAAACAAAAAACTAATGTCATGGAATTGGAGATGTGGCTCAGGGGTATAGCCCTTGCCCGGCACTTGTGAGGCCCTGGGTTCAATCCCCAGTACTGCTAAGTAAATAAGTAGGTAAATAAATACTAAGACATAAGGAGAAAATTAATCAACTGAAACAAGGAGGAATAGCAGCTAGAAGAAAAGACAATCTGTTCAAGTAACTGATTTAGCTCATTATTTAGCTTAAAGGTGGGAAATTCAACATTCCAGAGGGAAGTTAAAAATAGTTTCAAGATGATACTGTGTCATTTAACTATGACCTTTGGAATTCAAAAGCAATTTAAGAATGATAAAAATGAAATCAACAACACACTCGTATATAAAGCTGAATCTACTCTGAGGTACTTGGCATACAAATGGCCAACTCCCACTCCTACTGCCTCAGTGTCCTAAGTCTTAAAGTTTTTTTTTTGTTTGTTTTGTGTTTTTTTTGGTTTTTTGAGAAAGGGTCTCACTATGTAGTTGAGACTGACCTGGGGCTCACTATGTAGCCCTTGAACTCACAGCGATCCTCCTGCTTCAGTTTCCCAAGTGTTGGGATTACAAGCTTGCGCTAACACGGCAGGCCCGAAGTCTTAGTCTTAAGCGCAAAATCAATCTTAAAAGCCAAAATACTTCACAGCACCTGGAGCAGTGCTAACACAGCAGACATTTATTATCTGCAAAGTGAATGTGGATAAAAATGTACCACTAGTGGTGTTTATATATATATATATTTTTTTTTTGGTGTTTATATTCTTAAAAAATCATTTATAAAATTAATTTTATGCAACTTTAAAGGAGCAATGTGAAAATGTCAATGTGTAACTAGTTTTGGAAAGCTTATTATGAGTTTCTTTAAAAAATATTCACTTTGTCAGGGATGTAGCTCAGGGGCAAGGTCCCAAGTTCAATCCCTGGTACAAAATAAATAAAAAATATTCACTTCAACAAAAACTCTAAAGAGAAAAAGTTAAAATAAATGGTTGACGATTGACCATAAAAATACTATAGAGATATAAGTACTGGAACTTCATGACTTATATCTGAAATTAACTGAGAAACTTTGTACATAAAGTCAATAAAGCTTAACTCCTAGGTGTCTGCTAGTTAGAGAACTGACTGCAAATACAGCAAATATAGTAATCACAACCACCAGCTTCAGAAGCCTCTCAGAAATTAGACTGCCAAATCATTATGCCACCTACCATTTATTGGAGCCAAAAATTCTAGGTGCTAGAATGGGAACAAGGTAATCAGCCAAGCACAAAAACATAACAAAACAGGATACGCCGGACAGAACAGATGGATCTAGATAATAGATAATCCTGTTTAAAAAAATAAAACATCAGGGTTAGAAAAACAGACAACACTATTCTGAGCTAAAAATGTTTATTCAACTAGTGCACAGGTTTTCAAATATGGTATTTGGTTTTCTATTTTCCCACAAGTGGTTTTCCAGTCTTTGGGACAGACTAACATCACAAGCGGCACTCGTTAACGTAAATATCTTTTTCTTTTTTTTTTTTGGTACAGGGTCCTTGTGTTTGCAAGGCAGGCGGTGGTGGAACCGCTGAGCTAAATCCCCAGCCTTAACGTAAATATCAACGGTCAAAAGCTCTTTGGGAATCCCTCCTCAATAAGTTAAGAGGGTAAAGCAAGGGTGCTGAGGACAAAACGTTTGAGAGTCACTGAATTAGGCTATCAGGTTTACATAAGTATTGCAAATTCTGGAAAAGAAGTGAACTGCTTGTAAAGAAAGGTATTCTTTACAGATTATGTACTATGAACGAAGATATGTACTACCTGATCCTTTCTTAATAACAAGCACAACCTTAGTAATGTAATAGCACACTTACAGAAACACCAGAGAAACCACACCCACGATGGCAGGTGGAAACCAGGCCTTCTCCCATCTGAGGACTCGATCAGCCACCAGCATCACTTCTCCCCATCCTTGCAGCTGCTCTTCCAGACTTGCAGTCTCCGCGGCCTATGCGTGATCAACATTTACAGTGATCATTTTACAAGTCTCAACACTTTTATGGTTCACAGAGAGTTAAATTCTTCTAAGGCTCCAAATTATAAAATACCTCAATCCAATTGCTATCTTACTGGGTGTGGGGGCACATGCCTGTAATCCCAACAATTGGGAGGCAGAGGCAAGAGCCCAGAAAGTTCAAGGCCAGCCTGAACTACATATCTAGACCCTGCCTCAGAAAGACAAAAAAACAGAAAACAACTTGCTTTTCTTTTTTTTTTTTTTTTTTTTTTTTTTTTTTTTTTTTTTTGGTACCGGGGATCCAACTCGGGTCCTTGTGCTTACAAGGCAGGCGGCAGAACCACTGAGCTAAATCCCTGGCTCAACAACTTGCTATCTTAAACTGGTGAGTTTGGGGTGAGGAAGAGTCCTGCAACCTTGGTACCAAAGACAGAAATCAATGGAGGGGGGAAAAAAAGCCATTCTTTAAACTCACCTTCACAATCTAAGCCCTGGGCTACTCTTTGCATCCATGATATGACATAATCTTTACAGAAATCCACAACGTAGGGATAATAATCATTTTAAGCTCATGTGCTTTAATTTCAAATGAATAAACTAACTTCCCCAAAGTCATGTGGCAATGACGAGAGTTTTAATAAAATTGGATCCTTTAAGTTTGTTCATTTCAGGTGGTTTAAAATTGATCTGTGGCATTTGTCATTTTATTGATTTAAACCCTTGCTTCTAAATCCATTAGGAAAGCCTTTTCCTGAACAGCATTCAATCTCTGGAGTAGCTCTTTGTATAAGAGAATCACTTAGATGTTGGCATTTCACTGCATACCTAAGGAAAAGCACTTTAGCTAAAGTACATGTGGCATTGTAAGCTTAATGTATCTCAACACCACGTTTCCTAACACTCATGAAGACCTTTCGGTTAGACATCAAAAATTTCTCTGTAAATATGACACCCAAAAGCCACCTCCAGGATGAGCTAATGTGGCAAAAGCCCAAAAGCTGATTTAGGGTCAAGGAGGCAAAAATTTAAACAAGAAATCTAAGTGTCACTTTGGAAATATACAAAGTTAGGATAATGCGAATTGGTCTTAACAGAAATTGTACCTGTGCCACAATAATCACTAAGGTGATCCCAGGATTTCTGCCTTTATAGCTCATGCTTGATACTAAGAAAATAAATAAGAAATTTAAAATAAGAAATAAATATAACTTATTGTATTATTCTTATAATTTAAATAAAGTTTTAAAAATCACTGCACACTGGAAACCTTAAGCATTTAACATACACTTATACTTCAGTTAGTCCTCCCCAGAACTGTACAAAAATGTTGTCACATTCCTTTATAGCTGAAGAAACTGAGCCATACAAAAGGCCTTGTTCTCCTCATAATTCTGCTGCAAAGAGTAACTGAGTTCGGAATGAGGAGCTGTGTGCCAGAACCTGCCGTTTCAACAGAAGTCGGGCAGCTTCTGTGTGCCTTAATCCTCTGAAAAGGAGCCAAGCAGGCGGCTAACGATAAAGGGATGGGTGTACGTGTCTGCATGTGTGTAAGGAGACAAGCCGTGCATTTCTAAAAAGCAATGCAAAGTGAAAATCATGCACAGTCAAAGCGGCTTTGTAGTCAGTTAATTCAGCATTTGGGCTGTCTACATTTCCGTTGTGTAGCCCGCCTTTTTCTGGAGAAGGGTGATGGTGAAAACACAAGTATATCTGTTTTTTGCCTGAATGGGGTAGTTAAGGTCGTAATGAATTAAATCTGTCTGCTTCAGACACAAACTCAGGCAGTTCCTTTGCATTCTTGCTTAGTCTTCCTAAATTGGCTCGTCCTCCTGCGACCAACTCCCTTCCAAATTTAAGCCGAAGCCGGGTCCTCCCAATGTCTTTTCAGCGAAACCCCACTTCTAGCTTCCTGCAATGAGCTTGCAGCTTCCCTTCGTGGTAAGTTGTGCCAGCTCTAACATCTGCTCGGCAGCAGTCCTTTGACCCTCCACCTTTGCCCATGTTTTAGGGGGGAAATACAACGACGGCACATCAAGTTAAAATCAAAGAAGGGGAACCTGGATAAGGCTGGGGCCTGGGCCAGAAAACGCTGGTCCGGCCCCTCGACGGCCTCTGCCCCACCTGCACCCCTGGTTCTTTTTGCCACAGTCCCCCTTCTCCCACTTTCTCCTCAATCCGTAGTTGAAGTGACGCGCCCTCCTGGCACCGTCGCGCACCCTCCTCAGCATGTCAGAGGTCGACAGGACTATTGACCGCCCCAAAACCTAAAAAGACCCAGGTTCAGGCCTCGTCGCCTGCACGGGAAACCGCGGGAGGGCCGGGCCCTGCGCGGGTCCCTCCCTGCTCAGCCCACCGAAGCCCGGAGGCCCGCTCGAATCCCTCAAGACAGGCCGCTAGTACTCACCAGCAGGTTGGTGCTGCGATTATCGCCTTCCGCCATTATCCCTGAGATGCAGTCTCAGGGCAAGCCGCCCACGAAACTCACCTCTCCCAGCTGCCCGCACTGCTACCGAAAAGCGGAGGAACGCCCAGTAGGCCACTTATATAGGCAGCCTACTTTCCCGACAGCTCTCGCGAAGCCCGCCCCTTATTGGGCGAATTCAGCTCAAGCGTAAGGGAAGCCTGCCCAACCACTGCCCAGCACAGGGCTTGAAACCCAGGTCAAAGGGGAAAAGCCGGGGCAGCTTCTGCCAGGGGGGCGGAGACATAGTCAACCAATCAGCGCGCAGGGAGCGTGCTTCGCCCTGAATTACAGAAGCGGTTCAACTGCCCGACCCTGGGTAGCGGTAGGATCTCTGTCTCTTTATGTATGGCCACGCTGTAACTTGTCGGCCTTCTTCTGGTGGTTCTAAGCAGCTAAGGAGCCTCTCTGGAAAACTGAGCAGTCGAAGAAATGTTCTACGCGACTGGGGAAGGCGACTAAGATCCTCTTCCCCACCGGCCCGCCGCCCTCTAAACAGTTTAACGCAGTGTGATTCGGAGGCTCTCCTGTTGACCTGGTGAAGTTTTGAGGACAAGGGAAAGCTTTTTATGTGGATTTTACTGCCTTGTTTTTCTCCTTTTCCGTAGGAATAAGGCCTTAACTTGAAAAAGTTTGAGGACGGGAAAAATGCACCTGACTTTAAAAGTTGTTTAGTATACTTAGCTTCAGGGACTCGTTTTGACAGGACCTTAGAAGTCATGCTAAGGAAACATGTAAATCTCATAAACAGTGAAATTCACAAGCAGTTTTGGAACTAAATCAACTGTGCTGGGACATTTCTGTATCTTATCTACCCATGATTTCAAAATGCTTTAACAACTTTTGAGTTTCGTTATTCGATGCAAAAGAATGCCAAACCTTGGCCTGATCGGCTGTTCAGAAAATTAGCTTTTGGTTCGTTTGGTACCGGGGATCGAACTTGGGTCCTTGCACTTGTGAGGCAGGCCGCCGAACCGCTGAGCTAAATCCCCTGCCCTTGGATGATTAGCTTTTAACTGGCAATCTTTCATGTAACTCTTGTGGTTTTTTTGTTTTGTTTTGTTTTGTTTTGTTTTGTTTTCCGGTACTGGGAATAGGACTCGGTGCTTCTGCTTGCAAGGAAGGCGCCAGAACCACCGAGCCAAATCCCCGGCCCCTTTCATGTAACTCTTAAAGGCACCTGTATTACATAATTGATCTTACAAATGTTTTGAAAGCATTATTAGCAAGTTCGTAAAAGTTCGGTGTAGTAAGGAAAGGCGAGAAAACATAGCTACAGATCACAGACTGGCCCTAAGCCCCTGGCAGGAGCAAGAGCATCGAGAATTTCACGAATGTGGGCACAATTTGCTATGGGTGGCGGGGTGATGGTGATCAAACCCATGGCATTGACCACGCTAAGCCAAGCATTCTGTTTCACTCACAGCTATGCTGTGGAACTTTAGTGGGTTAAGTCTATGGATCTGTGAGAAATACCTGCGTGAATAATGCCTTTGCAAGTGAAGGGGATTCCTTGATTAAGGGCTACTTTAGAAAATGTGGGAGAAAAGACCGATACAAACATGACATCACTGGGGAGATATTTAAGCTATAGAATGTGAGAAATAAGCCCTCAACTTTTGTTTTTGGTAGTACTAGGGAACTGAACCCAGGCCTCTCGCTCTGAACTGTATCCCCAGCCCTTCAAAAACTTCTTAAATTTTGAGACAGGGTTTATCTAGGTTGGCCAAGTTAGAGATAAGATTAGAGTGTGTGCCACTCCCTTATTCCCCATTTTCAAAGTAAAGGACAAAAGGACCCAAGTAGTAGTCAGCTGCTACATCACGCAATGAGATGCCAATCTTACTGGGAACATGGTTAACATCCTCCAATTTCCAAAGAGAGGCCAGAATTAAGAGGCTTTAAAAACTAGTATTTCTACTTTGGAAACTCAGCTTCTTATTACAGAATGCTTTTAGTATTTACTTGAGTTCCCTATGTACAACTTATAAAGGAAGACTAATTTTTTAGAAAAACTGGCTTGTAAAACAAGTAGGTGAAAAAGTTAGCAGTAACTCAAACAGCAGTTTCTCAAGTCTTTACTGATTTTGTTGCCAGACTCATCTCCAAATGTCTCATTTATAACTTCCATAGAGCCCACTAAACACCAAAGGGCCCAATTAATAAGGATCTTTCCTTAATGGAGCTATATTTTTGTACCACAAAGACAGGATATGATCTCTTGATTGTGCCAGATGATTAAGCAGTTAATATGAAGGGGCAACAAATGGAATCTTCAAGATACTAAGGACTGGACATTTTGATTTGCCTTCAGAGCTTTCAAGCCCTTGGGAACACACACACCAATGGTGGCCTGCAAGAGCTTTGTGTCTTAAAACACTGACGAAATTAAGCTTAATAAATTTGTCCTTAATACTAGGAACTTTCCAACTGAAGCAAATTTCCACTGCCGATTAAACACTGAAGAGAAAATTGAGAGTAAAATATTTTTTTTGAAAATGAAATTTTTTAAATTTTGGAGATAATTAGTGCTTAAAGAGACTACCCATATTCTAAAAATGAGGTATACTGGAATCTAATTCAATAATTCAGAGCTTAAATGCTACATCTTTTAAGACTGAACCTTTATTTTTTAAAAAACAGGTATTCCATACAATCTTTGCCATGTTAATGCAAATATGCAAAGTAGGCATGTATTGTATTTTTGATTTCCAAAAGATGCATTATGAACATTTTCAGGAAGCTGGTGTGATTTATTCGACTTTTAAATACAATCACAAAATTATATCCATCAGGAGGCATTACAACCTTTTGTACAGAGAAGCCACTATTTATACAATGTTACTAGGACAAGGAAGATTCGGTTCAACTCAACTTGCTCCTATAATAAGGGTAAAAACTAAATTAACGTGAAGTATGATGCCATTGCCACTGACATTAGAGGTGGAAATATAAGAGAAATTTAAGCCAGAAAAGTGAGTGACATAGTAACTTTAAACAGGACCTGACATTTGACTGTCAGGAAAAGAAAAACAACCAGAAACACTGGATTTTTGAAAGAAAAACATTCTAAAATCTGCATTTCAGAATAACATGCAGTTCTTTGCCATCTTCAGAAGTTGAGCTAACTGTATGAGTTTTCACATTAGCCCTACAGGTTTGGTTTCGTTTTCCTAGTAAGCCCAAATTTCCATGGAAAGCAAGGGACCCTAAGTGACTGCTTTGTAACTAACTCTTGAACCCAAAAGCTTTTCTCAGAGTCAGTTTGCCCTTTTCTAAATAAGGATATTGACGTGTTATCCAGGCCAAAAACCAGGAAAAATGCAGCAAACCCTTAGGGTTTCATAATACAGTGAATTTTTCCTCCCCAACATTTAGAAAATTTTGTGATGCTTGCTAGTATTTCCCCATAGGAGGATTCTAATACTACCCAAATAACTGAAAACAAAATCCACCTCCTTTAAGTAACCCTCGCATTATTATTTCTACGTTTGTAATGCGTGTGGGGGGGGGTCCTAATTCTAAATTACTGGCATTTTATAAGCTCAACAAGATATAAAATGGAACACTGGTTTTCACACATATAAATTTATGTAAAACAAAGATGCTTATATGTGCTAATAGTGATGCATTCACTGATATTTGATGTATACAAACAGGAGTAACAGGCTAGCTGTAGGCGCTTTCACTAATATGAAAAGAATTTGAAGAAGAACCAGCTCCTTTGATTTTAGTACTGCCAAACAAGTAAGCCCCCAGAATAATTACAAAAATGTGGAGGAAAATAGGCCAGGAAGACTTTGATTTAAAGTACTGCCTATAATACCCCAGATTAAAAAGGACCTAAGATTGCACATCAACTCTAATATTTGGCTGTACTTGCATTGCCCTGCTTGGCATTTTTTTAATGGCTCTTTCCTTAAATTTCACACATCAGAACAACCACAGTTAAGAAAAACAAAATATAATGCGGTAACACCAAACATGGACAAAAATTAAGAAAACTACTTATTAAATTTAGGTAATAGAGACAAATGTTAAGGGCAAAAGTGATGGAAGTTTTTCTTTGTATTACAAACCCTCACCCTGAACCTGACATGTGAGCTTTGAAAGACCAATTCAGGGAAGCAAATCAAGAGTCTGATTACCAGTTCTCACACAGAGATCTCACACATCGCAACTCGCTACAAGGGTCAAAGAAGAATTTTAATCACCCAACAAACTATGTTATGAACTCATGACCAGAAATACAGAAATTTCAAGATACACCAAAGAAACAGTAAGAGAAAAGCTCCATAAACAGTATGCTAAGCTGCCAAAGCATTGTATAAAAACCAACTAAAAATTAGGCAATTCCAGAAAAGACAACAAAACACTTAAGACTTTAATTTCCAAGGATGCTTTGAATAGAAGAGGTTGTTTGTAGGTTATTCTGTACCCTCTGAATGAGAGACAGACAGAGACAGAGAGGACCCCTTGGATCTCCACAGATATTTTGTCATAAAAAATGTATGACTTCAAAACTATAGCACTCTGACTTTATTTTACAAGATAATCACCAAAATGTGGCCCTGTCTTCTTAATCTTACTGATGTGGTCTCTCATAGAAGTTGAAACTGGCTAGAATGGTATCAGAGGGGAAACCAAACTGTACAGACTAGGGTCTTGTCCAGAGTCAGTAAAGAGCCAGCTTTGAAGTTATCAGTTACTCGTATGTACCCTACAACCTAACACATATTATATATGCTATACTGTTCTATGAGGGACCATTTTAAAATAAAAGTGATCAGAGGCACATGTTTTATAAAATAAAGCTTTTTTTTTTCTTTTCTTTTTTGCTTGAATAAGGTTTCCAGGTACTTCTGAAGCCTGAAACTCAAATACAATAAAATTCAACTATCTTTTTTACCTTCTTTACCCAAGTGGAAGCAATTTCAAATACTATCTAAATAGACAAGTATGAACTGGTTTTATCATCACGGTAAGTTTTTCCTGGCGACAAGAATGTTGCTGAAGACTAGCAGAGATGATCAGGAAATGAGTGCAGGAGCTCCCAAAGCCTCTGGGAAATAAAGCAGCATGCA